AACAATTTTTTGGTGATGCCTGTCTGACACAAAGCAAATCTGGTTGGTATTCTAACCCAACTCTTTATCAGAGTTCAGCGATTGGAAGATGTAGACCTTAACCTGAAGGGAAGAACATTCTTAAAACACATTCAAACAAGTGCATTACCAAGGCATGCCTTTACACCTCTAATTGTTTTGGAATAGAATTCTCATAAGTTCCATTCCTAGCTGTGGATTAAGAAAAGGCAACGATAATGATAGTAGTGGGTTGATCAAGTTAATTGGTAATAATGGTATGAAATTTGGATTGCTTGCTGTGTTAAGTGTAATGGGATGCTGATACTGTTCCAGCAGTTGATGTGAAGACCCCTCAAAGAGTATTTTCGTTCCGATCAGAATGCCCATCCTTGGGAGTCTTGAATACTTAAAGTAATGTGTAAAGATGATTTCAAAGGATTGTTACCTAAGTTCTCACAGCGAAAGCAGCCTACTTACGCTTCTGAGTTATAAACTGGAGGGATTGTTGTCAAACATGGGCAAGTATGTTAAGGGACGTTGTCATGACATGTAGAACTTCTCTAGATAATGAATTGACTTTGAAAATAGCATTACTCAGTAAACTCAATCTTTTATCATCTTCACTCATGTCAGAAGGAAACTGAAGCATGTAAATAACTTGTGTGGCACTCAGTTGATCAAAAACTATCTTTGGTCAGCTGATGACATCCTGAATGATAATTCATTGAATTACCATCATTTTTTTATTCTAAAAACTGCTGAAACCTTTCTGAAGATCCAATAAAACCGCATCCAATGCATCTGCTTCTTTTTTAGGGGGGGAGAGGGAAAGAATGTAAAAGACACTCAACATTTTCTTTACCATCTGCACTGATCTCCACAGTAAGCTTTTAGGAGAACAGGGAAAGAGCAGCCTGGGTTAACAGGGTAAGGCATCCTGGGGAGAGCTGCTGCTTTTTTCAGGAAACATCTCCTTTAACAGATCCAGTCCTTCCTGATTGGTTCCATGAAGCCTTCATATAGATGGGCCAGCAATTGAAAGGTATGACGCAGTTATGTTAGAGCTACATCTCTCACCAGGAAGTTAACTTGAGCTTGAGGCTCCACCCTATGGATTTGAACCTTGGGGAGGAATGTCAATGTCATGGTAAAGGGCGGTAGAGATATCACTTTCTGATTGAAATCTGATTGAAAGCAGTGAAATACAGGCCATGGCCATGGCTAACTTTGGTGATACTATTCATTCTTAGTAGGACTTCATGAATTGAAATTTGTCTCTCCAACAACTCTGATTTGAACCCTGAAATCTTCCTCTTGCAGAGACTTGTCAACTGGGAAGGCATGTATGAAAAAACCGCTGTTTTCCATCAGCCATTGCATTTGATGAGTGAGTACCAACCTAGCATCAGGGGAAGGCAGAAGGACCACATCTTTATGCAAAACATCCTTTTTGGCCCTCTTGGGAAGAGGCTTCTTACCTCTGTTTGATTTCCCACCAAATGATAATCTCTTTCCAAATGGTAGGAAATAAGTTTCACAACTGAGTGGCCACTGCTGTGTTATCTGTGTCAACACTGGCCATGGGCTTTGCAATGGTCGGTAAGGACAATTGAATTGTCGGTAATGACCTCAACTTAAGCTGCAAGAGTGGTTGCTCAATTGATAACACATTTGTATCATTAAAGTTTTCAAGTAATGATCTTCCCAGCATGCGATATTTGAGTCTCTTGAGAACCTTTTTTGCCGTCTGTCATTGCAACAGGATCCTGTGAAAGAAGAGCAAAGACCCTTGGAATTAGGTTTATAATAGTGTCTATGTCCAATACTGGAAAAATTGGCAAATTTCCCGATTGGAACTTTATATGGATATTGTATGGATTTTTGAGTGGAAATTGACTATTTTCCAAAGATGGAAATAGTACAAGTTTTCCAAACATGGATTTTTTCTTCATACCAATTTGGATTTTTAAGATACCGAACTTGGATTTCCAAAATTTGGGTGAGAACATCATACTTGGAAATAAATAAAACCTTGAAATTAAGAGATCCGGGTTCAAGTCCCGAAGGGGCCTGGTTTTTTTTCAGGTCCTATTTTCAACTACTCATTTTAGTAGTTTTCTTAGCTGGGAGGATCTCTTAATTTCATTTCTTCACAGCAGTGTAAATATATGAATTTTCATATATCTAAAATCATTAAATAAAACCTTTTTTGGATTTTTTGGTAACAGGTCAACCTACTGGGATTTTCCTTCTCCCAAACATAGATTTTCTCTTTTCTCCTACTTGGATTTTGACGGAACCCAATAAGTAAAGTGAGAAAACCACACTTGTGTATGTTGCTACTAAATACATGTTTGTATTGTGTCTAAACAAATTTGGTTTCTAAACATTTTCCCTATTTTGGAAAGATGGAAAACCATAATGGAAAGTAATGTAATTCCATGGTTGGTATTCAGCATACCAAACTAGGTTTATGGAGTATTTGCAGCCCTCCCACCTGGGAAATTTTAATAGTCAATCTAAACAACGGTAAACTATATGGATTTGTAACACTCCAGCTGTCTATTTCTTGGGCCAAGACCAATGTAATGTAACATATCTAACAGATTACAAAAATAAACAGATTTTAGCTAAATTTTTATTGTAACTTCAAAAATATCATCTACTTTTGCATCTAAGCCAATGAAATTGATGCAAAGTGATATAGATTTATCAAATAACAAAGTTGCTGACAATAACTATAGCTGAACTGGTGCATGCTCATGCATGTGACAGTGTTATTTGTTTCAGGTAAAGTAGTTCAAAGTTAATGTCGACTGCTGCCCTTCACTATAAGGTTATCTTGAACTGGGCTGACAGATACATGACGAAGTTAAAAATTGTTCACACTTCATGTACCAGAAAAAAAGCAGTAGCAAATTCTTAAGAACTATCCTGAAATAGAATGCTCTCTATTGCATTGCGAAAAAAACATAGTCATTAAAACAGACATTGCCTTTGGTTGTTTCAAACATAGTGGATTGGTCCAACGTTGGATAAACTGCAAATGTTTTCAGACAAACATGGGAAGATAAAAAAAAAAAAACAATATTATCTGGCCCCGCCGATGCACTTTCAGCTTCAAAGTCAACAGTAACTCTCTGGTCCTGCAGGAGTACCTTGCTCCACAGAAATATTATAAAATGCGAACATTTTCACCTAATTGTGGCTGCAAGACTACTTAAACATAGAACACAGTCAAGCATATATTTTAAGAAAATTTTGCTGTCATGTATGTACATACACAAGGTGCCCAAAAACCACAAATTCCCAAAAGATCTCCTTGAAAAATGGCGATGACAAAACTGAATTTTTTTGACAAGCATGAAACTGAATTTTTTTGACAAGCATGTTAAAGATGAAAACTCAAGAACACTTCTGAGCCGAGCTCAATATACACTTAAACCTTAAATTTCAACAGTAAACTATCTAGCCTTGCAAAAGTATCTTGCGGAATTGGAACACATTACTACCTACTTGGTATGGCAAGTCTACTCAAACATCCAGTTATCAAAAACAATCCTGCATACCTATAAATCTAAGGTTGTCACTACTAGGCACATACTCAGCAATTAAGAGTCCTTAACTATAGACTCTTCCATAACAATCTCCTTGACTACTTTAACATCACCACGAGTCAATGATCACTGATCTTCCTCCTCCAATTCACGTATGGTAATGTAGCCCTTGTTGTGGAGTGAATTTGCAATCGCTCTGACGTGAGTCATCTAGTCCTTGCCTTGTAAAAGGTTATGATTGAGTAGTGTTCAATGCTACGAGTAACTGTTTGAGACTTAG